GAAAACAGTCAAGTGACTTTTTCAGCGAGCCGTTAACGCTGGCATTAACGCAGTCATTGAATTTAATTAATGTCACACCGTGGACGCGTCGAGCCACGACGCACGGTTCAAGGGTTGCACGTCAATTTTCTTCCTTCCACCGAGGCTATATCTATTCTATTCTTTTTCCATTCTTTGCCCCCATCCGTACGCTTTCCTTTTGTCGATTCGAGTCTCGTTTATGACAATGTATCAACAAATACATATGGGGAGAGGACCTAATTCAAACCATCCACTTTCGACAAATATATATATATATATATATATATCGAAAAAACGATCGAGAGCTTCGAAGCTTTAGATAAAAGGGGAGAGCACGTCATATTGGCAATAAATCTTTAGGAGGACTTTATCACGAAACGCGGCACAATAAAGTCTCAATAACACCTAACGCACCTATCACTTTTTTCTTCTTCTCCCCCTCCCTCCCTCCCGAATAATCTCGAATATCGATCCGAAATGTATCACCCGATTCCAGTATAATCTTCATCATCCTCTCGAACGATACCACGATTCACACGTTACCAATCTCGAATCCAATGACGAGGCTGGATGCGATGGATTAATCGACTCGTACGGAAACCGCGTACTGCACATGCTCTTTCACCTCCCATTCAAAGGAGAGAAATGGAAGAAAAACAGAAGTGTAACGAGAATTCCCTTTAGAATCTACTTAGCCGAGGATTATTCCTGGAAATCCTCCTAGGGATCTCCTAGGGAGATGCATTCGATTACTGCGACATATTATTTTTTCCAGGAACTTATTCCTTGGCTCGATCTTGCGTCGAAGGAAGGATGCTTTGTTTCGTGGATGGGATTTACGTTTTCGTGTTTGAAATCGAGAGAGAGATGCAATTGATTCGTTCGTGAACGACGTTTTAATCTCTCGGAGATACGTCTCGGCGAGGAAGGTCGAACGCTGGAAATAGTCCGCATCGTCTACGATGCACGTTCCGTTTCTAATAATAAACCCGATTCCCGGTTATTGGGAATGCTCGGAAAGAAGCGTAATTGCCGAGTCTCCCCGGAGAGGGATATCGCTTCCCCACGGTTAATTACAAATCGGGACGCATATATTAGTACGCTCGTGCCACGTCCCCTAATTACCGTAATTTATATCGCGTGACAACCGTATCGAAATACGAATCACACCAGGAAAGGGAATCGACCAAATAGATTTTGACGGGGCTGATTAACGGGGACGTGGAGCGGCATCGATATCTGGAGCTATGCAATATAATTCGAAAACGCGTCGATTTCGCGTCGGTGGAGATAAATTCTCGAGGAAGCAGATTAAAAGTTGTACCGACCGATCGATGGTTTACGAGCGTAATATCGGGGAAGGGAATTGTTGATCGATACTCGTGAATCGATAACTCGATGCTGCTTGCAAGCTTTATGGGCGCAATAAGGGGGCGAAGATTAAAACGCGGCCCGGCCACTGTCCAGAAACGACCCCTGGCCAATTTTATTTTACCACTTTCGAAATGGACGATATAAAAATATTGCGAGCAAGTTCGAATTCTCGTCGTGAATGATATTTCGAAAAAGTTATTAAAGCAATTTTTTTTTTCGTTCGAATTGCCTTGGACCGGAATAGATTCGAACTTTAATCAATAGTTTGATAAAAGGAATCTATATTTCCAGGTTATTAATTCTCAATTGTCCAAAATTATCGCGTCGAAAGTTTGAATTATATTTCTTAGCTACATTCCATATCATCTTTCATCTCAATAAATAATATATTGGTTTTGATAAAAGGAAAACGATATTTCCAAGACATTAATTCTCAAAAATATCGTCGAGAAATATCCAAAATTTTTATCGAAAAGTTTCAATTGCGCGATTAAGTATATTTCATCGTCAAAAAAGGAAATGGAAACCTCCTCCTTACTGCGTTACTAGAAAGGAGATATTAACACGAACTTTAACTTAAACTGTCTTAATTATAAGTGTCTTAGCGTTGGATGTAATTTAATGGCTGGAGGCGAGCTTCCTACGCAGTATTCGCAGACAATGCTGATCCTAAAGCGTACCCCGTAAAATTGCTCAAAATCGTGCCTGTTTTTTTTCTTTTTTATTTTCTTTAAACAATGGAAACGATCCATCAAATTTTTCAACGAAACGATAAATAGTTTATTGTTGCTCGATACGATGTTACGCGTTTAACGAAGGTGCTTTCTCTTATAATGAAAACTACGCGAGTAAAAGTATCTCCCCTTGTTCGTGAAAATTAAATTTTCCTTCTTTAATACGCGATCTTACGTAAATAGTACGGACAGGGTGTAGCACGTACGCTGCATTTCGAACTCGAAAAGTATAATCAAAACAAGTGATATCAAGTTTTCACACGGTTGCCTGGAAATTATCGGTGGACGTCTATCGATTTACCAGGTCTTGTTTCCTAGCAAATACGAGGAGCACGTCGTGGAACACGCGTATCGTTTATCTCGATGGGAAATTGTGTTACGCGGCTGCGAACGTTCGTAAGGGTGAGTTCCACGTGTTTATCCACGGGGAATTGGGAAACCGGACGGACCGAGATTAGAAAACGTCAGTTACGGGGAGAAAGTCGTTTATATCGATCTGTTTTATTTGTAAATATAAATAGAACGTCGAAAATTATTCGAAAATTATGAAATTATGATCGTCTCTGAACAAAGGATAAATACGTTGTTATTTAAACTATAATGTTTATCGATAATGTTTAAACGCTGATACTTTGAAAATGGATTAATTTATTTGTTGTATCAAGCATTTCTCTTATGTTATATTTAAAAATTGTTGAATTTTTAATCATCGATATAAATTTTTCTTGATTATCAAAAAAAAAAAAATCTGAATATTGGTTATTCGAAGTTATGGAAATAGCAATGAATTCTCGTTATATTGACTTATTAAGATTTGTACAAATGGGATTCTACTGTAGGAAAAACTGGAAAAGCGTTGAATCAGACAAATGCTTGGTTTGACTTTTGGATTTGAGCGAAGCATGGATTAGTTATCAAAATTTAAATAAGAATAATCTCGCTTTTGTATAATTGTGATTCATTCTTCCATAAACTTTGCGGCTCACTTTTCGTTTTTATGAAAAAAAGAAAGACGAAAAATATTATCAGATTAACGTATGTACTAATACCTTTTTTAAAAAATAATTGGAAGATAAAAATTTGGACGAATGCAACTGAATCTTCATTAATTCCACGATATCCGTCCCAATTTTTTGTACAACAATTCTCGCGATTCGTTAAAAATATGAAAATAACGCCATCTCAAACAAACTTCCACTTCCAAGAATTTCAAATTGCTGATTACCTGATTGCTCAGAGAGTAGATATTTAATGCAAGAAAAATCGGGACAGAAGGGAAGAAAGGCTTGCTGGAAAAACTTGTTAAAGTTACATTGGAATGAGGAAATGTTCTTAGAAGCAACAGGAAATTAAAATGACCATCTATAGAATTACTCGTGTTGAGTAATTTTAATCAGGAAAGTGCGAACGAATATTACGTATAATATATTATATTATATATTAATTATAAGAATAAATGTTATATCGTTTAATCATGATAATGATCGTAAAAAAAATATAAGATAAAATTTTCCCAACGAAAACACCATTAATAAAATATTCTTCCTTAAGATAAAATATGAAAGACAAACTTTACGTATATTTCGTGATTTTCCATTCAAAACATTCATAGATAGATATTACTTATCGAGCGATACAACATTGAAAAATTTACGTAAAACATTGGATCGAATCTTTACCCACGAAAACTATAAATATTTAAATCTCTAAATTCCATTTCCTTAATCATTTCTCATCATCAATCACCGATACTCCCTCGCATCCTCCTTCGACGCAATCCACAAAATCCCGAGTCCCGATTTCCTCTTGAAATTAGATTCGCGGGTATCGAAAGAAGCACGGCACGTATTCAACGAATGGATTCACATCGTGTATCGACAATCTCGATTGTCGTGGCGCGATTAAACTACCGATCGATACGATATTTGACACGTGTGGCTCGTTCCACTTTATCAGGAGAAACGTGAACATCCGCCTATCCACGTAGGTGGATCAATCGGTTCCATTGGCCGACCACGCCGGCCAGCTTTGCGCCAACTGTTCCAAACTTTTTAACGATATGCGTACACACGCTCGAAACCAATCTCGATCCTAAACTTAATTGTGTCCGACCACGCGTGCGAATTTACGCAAACTAATTTCGAAAGTCACGGGACGAAAGATAAGAGAGAATTAAATTTAACGCTCGCTTTATACATAATAATAAACATTTCAAGAACGTTTCTCGGAAGAGGAGAAAGGACACCTCGAAATAGAAACATAATTAACGCGAAAAAAAGATGGCGAAAATAATGGACGTGCGTTATTCCTTTGTAAGTTTATTCGATTCGCATCAACGGATTTCGTGATTAATTTTCGTGATTTTTTTTTTTAACGATACGATGGATATCTCGTCCTCGTATCCCCTTTGAACGAACACGTCGATTTAATATCGATCCAGCGCGCGATATTTTGTTTGCAATTTCTTCTTGCCGTAAGAAAATATTTATATCGGTAAATGAGATGCGGTCACGAAAGCAAATTAAATTTAATGTAAAGGATCCGTTTTACGTAAAATGATGGTCAATTTGTTTAAGTACCTGTTGAGCGAGTATCCATTCGAATATATAATATATATTCGCGAAAGGATTAAATCTATTTAATCAAGATTCGACGGTGAAAAGTATCATTTTTCACGTAAAACCATCCAAGAAGTGATTTAGATTCATCCTTAGCTTTGAAAAAATACTTGAAAGATACTCGTGAAAGATTAAAAAGTATTCGCCAGCTATTTGAAATACAAGATCCTAACGCTGCAATGAATACGTTTCCTATAGAGTTATCTCTTCCTTCGCTAATCTAAGAATTTCTTTTTCTACGTTTGTTTTACAGGAAAATCCCTGCACAAATGATGAAAGGTCGGCATCAATTTCGGCGTCGTTTCAGTCTACAACCATCGTCGCTGAAGGAGGGTCAGGAAGATGGTACGACGAAAAACGTTAGGTAAGAAGATTTATACTTTCCAACTCCTTCTCCAAATCTGTCTTATTCGCACTCGAAAATCTTTCACCTCCTCCGATAAGAAAAAAAGGAATCCTCCTTCCTTTCGTCCCCGAGGTGTCATTACTCCTTTTTATTTTGTTTCAAAAAAAAAAAAAAAAAAAGAAAGAAAGAACGAGAATCACGAGATTCTTTTCACAAAAGTGCAAACTGATTTCAATCTTTCTGAAATACTAGTTCGAGACAAACAACAACAACAATAACAAAAAAAAGGATTGAAAACGCGGATAAGGGAGAAAAGAAAAACGAATTTCCAAGGTAAACTGCGTATTCCATCGTTCGAGAAACAGTTCTGGCAAGTTTCTTTCGCAATATTTCGCTCCCTCTCCATCCTTTCTCTCCATTCTTCTTTCCACCTCTCCCTCTTCGATCCCCTGACCTCCCCCCCTCTTGACTCCACTCTTAGGCCAGAGCTTTAATTTTGCGGCCAGTTCTTGGCAAAAAGGGAAGCTCGCGTTCTTCTCTTCTTTGTGCACGGGCAAGTAATAACCGCGTCTCGCTCTCCTCCTCCACGTAATAAGCGTGGATGATTACGAAGATACTTAGGGAACAGTTGTTATCTGGTGCATGCAAAAGCGCCGGTGCGCGCCCATCATCGTCGCCGCAATTTCCACCCCGATGCTAGTCGACTATATATAGTATATTCTGAGGGAATAAATGGCGGCTCAGAAATTCAGACCTCGCGTGTACAAAACAACGTATTCAATAACTCGTGTTCCCGGTGAAAGGGGATCTTTAACGTTCATTAGCGTTCTATTCTCCTCCCTGGGACGTTGTCCCCTTAAATATGAAACGAGGTTTCCTGTCTTATTAGCACCCTCGCGCTCAGGTTACCTCGCTCGCCGCGCTAAAGAAAAATAGCCGTGAGAAAAGGACCAACATTTGTTACCAAGTTTTATTTAACTCTTGCTCGTCTAGTAGTGATTCAATCTTTAATTCAATCCGTTAATTAAATCATTATTAGATGCGCGCATCACGCACTTTCTATCTTCTCACAAATCTTTCTCTTTTAAGTTGAATTACTCAAATATAATACACGGTACAAATATTTCTAATGTTTCTTATAATACTCGTTAAATATCAAAGAATATTCTTATCGTCGATTTTTTTGGGGGGGAGGGGAGAAACGAATATTCCTTCATTTTGGAGTAGTGCAAATTTACCGAAATAAATCTCAGAATATTTCTTCACTCCGGAGTGGCGCAAATTTATCGAAATAAATTTCAGAAACGAGAGGCTGTCGGAGTCGGACAGCGGTGGCGGGAAACACGCGGAAAGTTCGATACGGCACAAGATCGTTGTGATGGGGGCGGCGAAAGTGGGGAAATCGGCGATAATCAATCAGTTCCTCTACAACACGTTCACCCCCAAGTACAAGAGGACGGTGGAGGAGATGCATCACGGGGATTTCAACGTTTCCGGCATACAATTGACCCTGGACATCCTGGATACATCGGGCTCGTACGAGTTCCCCGCGATGAGAGATCTGTCCATCAAGTCTGCGGACGCGTTTATCCTCGTGTACGACGTCCACGACGCCAACACGTTCCTCGAGGTGAAGACGCTGAGGGCGCAAATTCTTAACACGAAGGGGGCGGTGCCGATCGTCGTCGTTGGCAATAAAGTCGACTTGATCGACACCGAGAAACAGGTAAAGGTTTTAACTCGAAAAAAGGGATTATTGTCTGCGACGCGGAGTGTCTTCTCGTAAAAACTGATCGAAAAAAATTATTGCTATTTCGAACAACTGTTTCGAGAGTAGAGAAGAACCTAATTCGAACCTAATTCGATTTCTTTTTAAAATCAAAGTGTATTGTATTTAAAAATATGTTTTTCATTTTTTTTGTATCTTTCCTATATTGCTCGATATTTCTTTATAGAAATATGATCAGCTGTGTTTATTAAAAGTTACGCATTCATTAGAAAGTCCATTGAGATCTCGAGTCTCAAAGTTGATTGTATAAAAATATGAAAGTCTATCCTTTTAATTAATAATTAGCTATCGATATATATTAGTGTATTAGAGTGTATTTGAATTCAAAAATATGCTTTCATTTCTTGTCTAAATTGCTCGACATTTCTTTATAGAAAAATAATCAGTTGTATTAAAAATTACGCATTCATTAGAAAGTCCATTGAGATCTCGAGTCTCAAAATTGATCGTATAAAAATATAAAGATCTACCCTTTTGATTAATAATTATCTATCGATATATATTAGTGTATTAGTTTCGAATTTAAATTAAAAATTACACACACTTATTAGAAAGTTTATCTTAAGTCTCAAAATTGATTATAATTGCGGTGTAAAAATATAAACGCAAGGTCTATCTTTTTGATTAATAATTAGCTATATATATATAATGTATAATTTCATTTAAAGGATTAATTTCAGATCCGCGTGCAACAATTTCCCCCCGCTACAATTTTACTCGAACGTACATTTGCAGGTGGATACGGACAGCACGAGAGAGTTGGTAACGATGAAATGGGAGAACGGTTTCGTGGAGGTGTCAGCGAAAGAGAACTTGAACATTTCACAGGTGTTCAAGGAGCTTTTGATCCAGGCCAAGCTGAAGTACAATCTAAGCCCGGCATTGAGACGTCGCCGCAGGCAATCATTGCCACCGCCCCAGCATTTGAATTCTCGGAGCAGCAGCGCTCACGTCCCGTCCCCGGCCCAGCTCCAGCATCTGCAGCAGATCCGTGAACGTTCCGAGTCGAAGAGGAATTCCTGTATACTGTCGTAAACGAAAATCCAAAGGCATCGATAACCGTTTCTCATCTGATTCGAGAGGAGGAAGGGATGATCGAATCGACGATCGCCCATTCTCTCTAACACCGATCGATCGAGACGACGTTCACGCGATCGATGATTTCGATCGATCGATCGTTCGAAACGCTCCCATCGAACACTCATATAAACGATGATAGTCGAAAGAATATAGGAAGAGGGGGCGAGAAACCGTGATGCCGATCGAAGATTTGTTTCCTATTCGAAAGAGAACTTTCGTCTCGTACAGGCCTCTCATTCGATTTTTAAGAAATTTACGATTTACGTCGATAATATATCATCTTGAATCGAGAGTTTAGCTGATTTTTCCTTATTGAAAAAAAGAAAAAAAAAACAAAAAAAAAAAAAAGAAAGAAACGAACGACAATTATTTCGATGTTTATCGTTCGAAAATTCGATGTGAATAGCGAGTGAATCTACGTACTTGATGTTAAGTAAAAAATTTTTTCGTCGAAAAATTGAAAATTTCTCGTTCCTAGGTAGAAGAGGAAATCACGAACACGATGGAGAGACACGCTTTATCACGACTTTAATAAGGATAATATAGAAGATAATTATTCCTCGTGACGACCCAGTCGTTCGTTTTAATTAAGAAATCATCGTTGCTCCCCTTTCCTCGATGCAAAACATCACACCTATTTACCGATTTTATTCAAGATCGACGAGAGGTATTCAACTGGAAACAAACGACGATTTCTATCGTCGATCGAAATATGGTTGAACATAATTATTCCGAATTATTCGAAGGGATTCCCATCTTTGCATATATATCAACAAGTATCTTACAAAGGTATCCTATTTCAGGGTTGTTCCCCACTGCCCATTCACTCACTATTATCCATCACTCTTATTATCCATTTACGAACATTGAACGGCCAAAGAACGTTTTATAAAGCAGTTTTATTGGCTATATTCGATTGAATTTACATCGAGCAATTGTCTATGCTGTTCTTTATACATATACCCCGTGTTATACATATAATTTATTTCAAAATAATTGGTTCGATTTATTCGATGTGTAAAAAGGGTACGCGAAGAGAGACATGTTACATCCCTAAAAAATCAAAAATGGCAAAAGTATCGTTCCCCCGTTTACCGCCAAAAAATATCGAATTATTTGTCAATTAAGGTGAAACGATGAACGTGAACGACTCGCGCATAGTACGCCGATTGCCTTTGCTCCAAACCTGAGTTAACCGCGAGTACCGTGATAAAAAAAAAAGTTGAAAAATGTGAAAAAAAAAGGTAAAAAATGAAACGTAATCATGTACAAAAAATTTTATTCGATCGCATATAGCTTTTGAAGTAGTTGTGTCATTGTAATTGACACGGTGAATAAAAACGGGAATCGTAGAATATGATGAGTTTCTGTTTTCCATCACTTGATTAGGTAAACGTGAGAGATATACGTATACGTTGTGTCTATAAATTTTAATGAAAATATCGTGCAACGATCGTTGATTGATTTTGTAATATTAGATGGAAAGATTTATCGATTTCACGTTTAAATAATGTATCGCATGATATCGTATAATTTATCGTTTGGGAAGAAAGAAATGTTTTTTCGAATATATTATTCAGATTAAAAAAAAAAAATCTATAATATACACGTTAGTGTTATTTAATGGTAGAAATTCTATGTAAATAAAAGAGCCTTGCGATGTGGATATCTCGTTGAATCGAAAACCCACATTGGGTATAATTTTACATAAAGTACTTACACATATACGTATATACGATTAAGCAACAGACATATAATTTAACGCGTTTCAACGCGATTAAAATGAAAAATGTCGCGCATCACGATAACTGGATAACGTTTATTTCAATATAAAAAAAAAAAGGAAAAAAAAAACTCGCAATCACGAGAATCAAATCAATACGATTTTTCGATCGTTCCAAACTCTCTAATTATTGGAACGAATTTTTCGCTGAGATCATACGTTTACCTGACCTGTGCAATTATTTCGTGTTACTTAGATTAATAATGTTGTAATGTTGTAATAAGATGAACCGGTTTCAAACGTGCGAACAATCTAACAAGTTACGAAGATCTATTAATATCATAAGATAAGAACAACAATAGATCTACGTCATAAGGAGTTTCGAAGGCAGATGGTATTTGACACGATTGCAATTATTTTTAGCATAGATCTGGAGGAAATATGTGGTGACAAATTAATAAGTAGTCTAAGCCTTTGACTTTATATCATTGCGTTATCAGAAATTAAATAAAAGATGAGTGTCATATTCAATTTCCTCTTGAAAACTTTCTTTCAATTTATTCCCAATCTTTGAAATTTTCGTGTAACATAAAGTATTAAAAAACTTTTGATATTATTGCATTAAATTATGATTAAGATATAAAATATAATATAATATCCTGTATAGTATGATAAATAAAAAAACTAATTAAAAAATATATAAATTCGCGTATACAACATACAAATGCGTAGAATTATATATAATTTTTAATAAAAATAAACTTTGATTTGATTTAGACTGGATAAAGAATGTAATAAAATTAATCAGATATTGGAACCGTCACTTAAACATATAAATTTTGAGGAACAAGTGTAGACAAAGAGAGCAAATAATAGAAAAGGACAAATAGCGTAAAAATGTTGAAACTGGCGCCATCTGTGGAATATATATGAAATTAATGTAGATAAAGAGAGCACATAATAGAAAAGGACAAATAGCGTAAAAATGTTAATGCTGGCGCCATAATAGAAAAGGACAAATAGCGTAAAAATGTTAATGCTGGCGCCATCTGTGGAAGGTACATGAAACTAAAGTAAACAAAGAGAGCAAATAATAGAAAAGGACAAATAGCGTAAAAATGTCAATACTGGCGCCATCTGTGGAAGGTACATGAAACTAATGTAGATAAAGAGAGCAAATATTAGAAAAGGACAGAAATAGCGTAAAAATGTTAATGCTGGCGCCATCTGTGGAATGTACATGAAACTAATGTAGATAAAGAAAGCAAATATTAGAAAAGGACAGAAATAGCATAAAAATGTTAATGCTGGCGCCATCTGTGAAATGTACATGAAACTAATGTAGATAAAGAAAGCAAATAGAAAAAGGATGAAAATAGGTAAGAATTGACTATCAGCACCATCTCTTAATTATTTTTAGAACAATTTTTCTTGAATAAAAACTTTTCAAATCGAGAGATGGCGCTAAACATCAGTTTTTAACTTATTTTTATCTCTATCTTTCTTCTATTATTTTCTCTCTTTGTTTAAATTTGTGTTTCATTTGCGGCACTCTAGAGATGGCGCTGATATCAGAATTTTTATTCTATCTCTGTCTTTCTCCCATTATTTATTCTCCTTGTCTATACTTATATTTTACGACATTATAGAGATGGCGCTCGCGAATTTTTATTCTATCTCTTATTATTATTAAAAAAAAAATATTAATTATGAATGAATGGATGTAATTTTTTCTCACATATTTAAATTTAATTATATAATTATTAATAAATATGATATTATCTAGCATAAAATGTTATTTTTCTTTCGAAAAGCAGAGTAATAATTTCTGAATGTACATTAACCTAAAAAACGCTTATTTTCATATGAGTCTTGATAAAGTACGTTTCGATAAAGCTCGGTGAACGATTGTCTAGATATAAGTGAAACATAACGTTAAAAAGAAATATGTTTCAGCCGAATTTTCGCGTTAAACTCGATTTAAGTAAATTTTACAATGATGCGCGTCGTTTTTCTTGGATTTTTGTCGACAGTACAAATATGTTTCAAATTAGTCATTTAAAACAGCATATTACGGAATTGTTGAATATCAATGAACCATTCCATTTATTACTAAATGAAAACGAATATTTACCACCCAGCGAGAATATACGCATTTTAAAAGAAAATGAAATAATTCTGTGAGAATTTAAAAAAAATATATATATAAAAATCTATCGTGTTATTTATATGAAACTGTTGCAGGGTTTCTCCTGGATCTGGATTAAATAGCCACTTTGATTTATCTATAAATAATCACTTCGACTCAATTACAATTTCACCAAATGAGAAAAATATACAAGAGTTAGAGAATAGTTTTAGGAGCCCAAATGAAACTAAAAATTTATGTCAAAAGCAATTAAAAATATCAAGTGTCACGAATATATCTCAAAATGGTAAGAACATATAATGAAATAATTAACATAATCAAATTAAAATCTATTGATATAAATTTTACAGAAAAATTTGATATATCTACAAATCTCTTCACATGTCCAAAAAGAAAACGTGTAAGACATAGAAAAAAGAAAATAACAGATGAAGAAACAGTGATACAAAAAAAAGAAAATGAATTAAACAAACCTAAAATTATTAATTCTTATATTATTCCTTTTGGCAAACATATTCGTTTTGATGATTTAGAAGATAATGATATTGAGGAAAGAAAGCCTAAATGTCAACAAATAATGAATGGAACTAATACAACTCATGTATCACCTTCTCATGAATTAGCTAATTTATTATCATTAAGTAATAATTCTACTCCTGTTACTTTTACAAATATTAAAAATACAAATATTAAAGTAAAAGAAATACAGGACCCATGTGAAAAAATAGAATCTCATGAAAATAAAAGCATAGCTTCAACTAATAATATTAATTTAGAAAAATTATTAAATATAGATTTCAAAACATATCCAATTATGATAGAAAAACCACAACTTAAGGATATTATTGCATTTAAGGTAATTTAAAATATTAATATTTATTATAATATATATATATATATATATATAATTAATTAATTTTCAGATGCTCAAAATTGGATCAGATTATACACCACAAATATCAGACTTTATTGTAGCAGAGATTTTATCTTATTGTCCAGAAACATCAGTATATATTCTTAAAATATTACGTATGTGATTTTTTATTAATATATATATATATCAAAAAAGAAATTATTATTATATATTTTTGATTATTTATAATGACATATTTATTTATAGGAGGTTTATCTGAAGTGCAAGTACCAATAGGAAAATTTACAGTTATGGAAGATACAGTAGAACAAACAATGAATGATACAATTACATTAAATTATGCACAAATAATGGAACCTCGATCTATATTTATACATAATACAGATAAAGAAACTACTTCAAATATAGATCAAACAATTACTCCAGATATAGATAAAACAATTACTCCAGATATAGATAAAACAATTATTCCAGATTTAAATAAAGCAATTAATTGTTAATTAAATATCGATTATGTATTAAATAAATACATATAAATAAATATATATATTTTATATATTACAGATTAAATATTTTTATGTAAAATAAAATATATTGAAAATATATTAGAAAAGAGAATAGAATATTGCTCTTATAAAAGAGAATAAAATATATTGCTTCATTATCATACTGATATATAATTTATATATGATGATTGAAAATAATAGAATTATTTGTAATACGTACATTTTTTGTAGTATTGAAGTGTAGAATTCTTGATATGAGCAATTATCGTTGATTGAATTGGAATTATTAAAGACTTCAATAAAATTTTATTGTACATTGCAACAATAATGAAGTAAATTTCATTTAATTTCACATAAACTGAAAGACGTATTATTTATAAATAAATTTTATCACGAACGACAACTTTGTATTCACTCTATCGTTAATTTTGATCAAAATCAAAATCACTAACTTTAAAATAGAAATTATATAATCACTTTTACAATCACTTCTACTTTATTTTAAAAATTTTAATAACTATGGCCGTCAAATCAAGCTTGATCGAACCTTTTTTCTTAGTCTCGTTTTGATTGGTTGATTTCGTTCCACCAATAAGATTCAAATGCTTGAAATATTGGATAATTGAAATCTTACATAATTCGCTTATTCTTATTCTTAGAAACATGAAATATATAATTTTATAGAAATATAACATAAATATATTTTTTTTTAATAAAAGAATAAAAATTACTCAAATATATAATATATACAATATATATATCTTATGATTATTCTGTTAATAAATTAAACAGTTTACGTTAACTTAATAGATACTTTTTAATCAACGTAGTATTGATATAATATAACAGTACATATAATGTGAACTAATAATATTAAAGGAAAGAAACTTTGTCTCTAAAGTTTATGGAAGTCATGAAAATTAAATTTTGAAGAAGTATTTTTTGTAAAAATATACATGTATATATTTATCATAAAAATTTTTCATATTTTATTTTATGATTTATATTTTCCATATTTAACGAATATGAAAAAGATTAATAAATTGATTAATAATGCGTCGATTAATCTTCTTTTATTTTTATTTATTTTTTTTTTTTCTATATTTATACGAATTTGATTAAAAATGATGTTGCGCAATAAAATCAAATAATTTTGCATCTATATTTTATTATCAATCAAAAACGAAAATACAAATTGAAATTTGAATTTAATCGATGGCTAACTAATTTATCATCGTACGATATCGTGTTATGCAGTTAAATTTGCTTTCATATTTCCGGTATTGTCGAACCATTCATCCTTTGGCAACGAATCTAATCACGAGATATCTGAGATTAATTTCAGGGTAGTAACGAACGCAATAGGGATTAATAGAAAGCAGTTTGTATGTAATTTACTTCAGAGAGTGATCATGTATTCGTATAACTTTTCCAGTTGTACGATTAATAACACTTACTCAAAGAAAATGGCAATACTCTCTTGAAAATCTAGACTTAATATTCCTTCATCTGGCGCCCTTTATCTCTCATAATCGATCAATTAAAGGACCAAGCAAAATGAAATACTATAATTAATTACAACTTATCGTAGAATCTTCGTTTTATTTCTGTCTACTTTCCTTTCTTTCTCTTTCTCTTTCCCTTATTTTCTCAAACTCTCTGATTATAAAACTATTTTTACTCTACGTTACATCCTTTCTTTCTGTCACGTCTCCTTTCAATACTTCATTAGCCATGGATAGCTTGTATAAGATGAAGATTAACTCGATTCACAGTCGATTCTGGCGCCATAATACTCACTATCTGTGATATTTTTGATATCATTCTCTTTTGTAACCAACAATCTATTGCCATCAATTTCGAAAAACATGTATCACGTGAAAGGAAAAGGAAACGAGTCTCATAAAGTTCGTTCCATCGTTTGATCGTTCCCAATATTCGACATCATTTTCCGTGTATCGAAACTAGATATGTCGATAATTTCATAGATAAGTAATATTTCCGATTATATAGGTTACAATCGTGTACATATATCGAATGATACACGATTCCTGACACGATGATATATATACACATGTATCTGTGCACTCGTCTATCAATGAAATTTAACCCGTTCTTCAATTACGAATCTTTCAACGTACGATTCTATAATACAGTTATTATTTAAACATTGTGTCCACGACACAATTTTCGCATTTCCTTCTTCTCTGTAGAAAAATAAAAGGCCAACCGAGGTAATCATCGCGGAACTAACAACGTAACAGTGTAAATATTTGCGCTGACCGAATAGAGGAAGTTTGATAATTCGTGTAATTTCATCTTTACATTGTCTTGTTTTGTCTCTGTATAACTTTTGGAAACATTTCATTCTTTTTTTTGATTCACACGTAATTTCATGCATGATTTTATACATTGCTCGACATTCATTCGATCGATTTCAATCTCTTCTAATGATTTTATTGAATATTGAAATATAGTAATATTTGTCAATTTCAAATTGACCAAGATCCTTTGAAGAGATGCAAACTCATTAATTTATTAGTGTAACCTATTAAAACCATTCGAATATTTCAATTAAAATTAAAATTTTCGAGCCCATCTCACGAATACTTTATCGATTTTCTAGTTTGAAAATGAAGATGCAAAAACATTATTCTCTTAATTAAACGATGATTACAAAGCAATAACTTTGATAGTATTTAAAGTTAATTAAGTCATCCAAGATCTCGTTTGTAATATTTTTGAGAATACGAAACTTATAAGAAAATTATAAGAAAATTTTTCTTGTAACCTGTAACGAAGCGTTCGATTTCTCGAAGAGTTCAGGAGGAAAATTACGAATACTAAAACCGAATAGCCATAATATAATATAATATCCACTAAATTTACGGGCAGAGCAACATCCCGATAGACACTGGTAGCTCTATCATGAAAAAGGTTGCTCATAAAGCACGCTCGATTCCAACACGTTTAACGATCTTCTTCCTGTTAATAAAATCTGCTCTCGAGAAAAAAAACTTTTGCCAAACTACCGCCAACCTGAAAATTTTTTACTGTTATGTCTTGTCAAGGGTTAATAAGTCGTAACATTCATCAAACAGTTATCAATTCTTAATAAAAAAAATCTTTTTCTAATGGAATTTTATAAAAACTTTTATAAATACTTGAGCTTCCATTCGAAATTTTAATTCTTACGAAATATTCTGATCTTATTATATTCTGATATTATGATCTTATGAATTTTTATGGAAATATTCAAAATTTTCTTAAAATTAATGACATTAAATGATTTTTGATTCTATAACTTGATTTCGAGCAATTTAAAATGTTAAAAACTTACTTTTTGTTAATAATGCAATCTATGTTTCCATTTTCGATTTCATATAGATGCAATATCAAAACTTATTTTAATATAATGACTCAAATTAATAATTATTGTAAACGAGAAATGTATAATTCGAATAATTTCGATAATTTTGACCATTTACATCGATACAATTTGATATTATCATCGATCTTCAAACAATTATTTGAGAGTTGTTCAAAAAAAACATTCACTAGTCCATCATTGGCTTCGATACACCGCGAGATTGCATTCCTTTAAACTTAATCATCCTTCGCACGGATTTTGTGCGAAGGATGCTCAAACGGCTTTCCACAAGAAGGTCGATTCAATCTCTTCACAGATTGCAACGTGATACGAATCTCATGTAAATTCGCCAAGTATCCGGACGAAAGGGTCAATTGTTCAAGGGTGGTGTGCGCGATGATTGCGTCTATATCCGTGAGTTGGTGCACGTCGTGCAGTCAGGAAGTTGGCTAGATTGAAGGCTTCCAGGTCGTTCCAGGTAACCTTTTCTCCATCCCATTATCGTGGTGCATTCGCGCGTACCATCATCGTTGTATTATAAAGGTTTATATCGGATGTATATCGTTACAGTGACAGGCGATAATTGATTCCCTTCAGTTCTCGAAGAGAAAATTATTCTTCGAAATTCGTAAGAAAAGAAAGAAAGAGAAAGAAAAAAAAAGAAAAGAAAAAGAGGATCCTTCGAGGAAGAAAAATTGATTTTGAAGAAAAACTTTGCCTTGCATTTGTCAAGATTTTGATTATGGCGCTATTCAATTATAGATACAAAAATTGGCCATAAAAATTGATATAAATTTGTAGCGATATGAAAAACGTGTGCTCGCACCGGAAGTACGGCATAAAGACGCCAGTGACGGCGTCGTAAATTGAAACGAATATTACTGTAAAACGTTATCGATACCTCGTATCGTTTATGGACGATGGTTATTTATCAGCGACCCCGTTCCGATAAACAACCGGAAAAACATGCTATTTGGAGAGGAAGGAAGTTAAAAATGTCCGACGCATCGACAGATTTTTCTCGCGTTCTTTTCCCCCGTTTAAGATAAGTCTGTTTTAGAATATGACCTTATTCTAAGGAAGACGACCCTATTCCTCGAGACGCAAAAATATTTCGGTCGAATAAATCAATAATCGCGGCACGGGGTCATCGTTAAAAATAGTTGCCGAGTAAAAAAGTAATTAACAAATGGATCGTTTCTTATCGACATCGAGGGGTTGGAAACTGTGTTTACGCAACCTGATATTTATACGGTTCTCTCGTTCGTGAGTGTTTATTAAAGAGATATCTCAATTAGTTGCACGGTAGATGTATGATTGGCTTATTTTGGAAAGAAATTAATTAAATGTGAAAAAAAAAGTATAATTCGGGATTAACGCAATGGTGTGAACTAACAGGATATAGGACTAACAGGATTTTGAAAGGAAGAAAGAACGATTTCTTATCCTTCTGAAATGATTTACGATGGAAACGAAAAACGAGACGTTAAAAAGATTTATATTGTAAAGTGTACAGGATTTGCCAGTAGTACACCTCGATATTCGATGCGACGAGTTGCATTAGCGCAGTAGCAAAAATGTAGGGAAAGAAAACACGGTTGGCAAGATATCGGTGGCGATTTAAGTAATATTTCTCAGAGATTTACTGGAAATTGACGTTCACAGTACACATTGTGAAAGAAAATAGTCGGTTAATGATCCCACAACTCAATTTCGACGTTTTAATTGATCGTACATTTTAAAGAAAATCTATCGATACGAAAGGAGGATCTTGGAAGTATTTCCTTGATAAAAAGGACTAGTGATAATCTTTGAAAAAGTTTGATCGAAATAGCCGAGATATTTGTTGTGAAAGGATGAGCGGCAAAAGTTTCCATTAAAGAATCGTCTGTCGATGTTTTGAACATCCTTGAAACGCTTCCTTTTAAGAGGAAATGCGAGGGGATTAAAAAAAAAATATCAGGTATAATCAATAAAACAGCACAAGAGGTAGAGCTTCTAAGATTACTCGAAGAAATAAATCTATCGTGGCTCTCCCTCGTATTTTATTTTATTTTCTACTCGTTTATCTTGGTATGAATAATTTCGAAACAAGAGACGAAGTGGCTATATAAATAGGATATATTCTTTATATAGCCTTAGAATTAAATTCCAATTTTGCAACGTTTAATTTTTTCTTATTTTGTAATTCAATTTCTCCTTTGTTTTATTCTACAATAATCTTTTGATTATTCTAATAATAATAAAAAGAAACTATCAAAATATAGATCAAATCAAACGATTTGAGTTTGGGAGAAAAAAAAACTTTTATAACATCACGATTGTTGCTAAACATATATCGATCAATTTAATGAACTATTAAATCGATTTTATTACGAAAACAACGATTACGAAACAAATAAACTGATTTTCTTTCCCATATGATTCTCAAATGAATTTCGAATGGGGAGTAAACTAGTAATTATATGGAGATAAGTAATTATATGGAGAAAACCGAAATGTAAATTACTTTTAATGGAATAATATATCATGGTAATGAGCTAGACGACCTCATAGATCCTTTAAAGTAATTGCTATTGCACTCCCACAGATATTGATACGAGATTGGAATCCATAATTCAGCATTGAGTCTAATCCTAATCCACAATATTAAAATCTATTAATATCGAGCGAAATTTCTATGATTATATAAATAAGGACATTTCGTTTATCGTACGAAATAAAATGTCTCATTTGCTTTTCGATATTTTAAAATCGAAATTGTCTTGATTTAAATATTTATGAATCAAGATAATAACGTGCATTTATGTACAAGATTTGTATAAATATTGGTGGAATATCGAGCGAGGATGAGAATTTATTTGGCGAAACTCAAAATTATATTGTTTTTCCTCGATGGGCGGAATTATTCATTATATATCTTCCTCTGATTTGCACTTTTATCATTTCTCTCGCTTCTTTATCAACAAGTAAACAACAATAGTTCGATAAAGTTGCGTTTTCTCGCAAATAAGTCAAAGCCTATAAGATATAAAGCTTTTTTTGCCACTTTGAATATCTTCAGGAATTCGCGTGCGAAGAACAGAGGAATTTTTCGATTTGTTCGAATTATCTCAAGCATTATTTCATTATCTCAAGAATTCATTATCTCAAGTCACGAATTTTATCACTGGACGCACTTCATACGTGACCACTTACGCTGAAGATCCATCGTACATTATTATTACATAATATTCTTTAAGCAAGCCACGTTCGTACCGATAATAAACCGCGCCACTTTGGCAAAGTGCATTCCGTAATTCGACCAAACACTGAAAATTTCACGAATACAAAGTGTCTTTTCTGCGTGTAACATCCGTAACAATCCGTTACGAAAGTATTATTCGCTTCGAAAATATCTACGAATGTATTTCTTTAATGTTACTCCGACCACCACAGATCATATGCGCATTGCGCAATTGTGCAACGCAGCATCCCATTATTATATCCTTTATCCACGTGATCGCGCGTGATATCTGTTTCCCGTCGTGTCGAGTTACTCTTCGATCATCAACCGCAAGAGATTCGTAAATCGTTCGACGAAACGTGGAAGATAAAGCTCTTGCTCGTCCAGAGAGATTCAAGTTCACCGAGTCGAAATTTTACGACGAGAATAACCGATGTACCGTCGCGCAAAGGTCTTTGTCTCTTTGCTAAGATCTCGGATGAAATCGGATTGAGACGGTGGACGAAAAGCGGCATGCGGCATATTGCCGTTGAATCTCTGTTACGTGCCGCGTTTAGGAAGATAGGCATTACGGAGATAAGGATTATGGAAGGATATGTATCTTCCTCGTAGAAATTTGATTCTTTGAATCAAGTAACAGAGTAGCATTCCACAGTTGGAAATTTCTTAGTTCTTTGTTAGATTGACTTTTGTAATCTTTCCTTTTATCTCGTCTTTCCTTAGTTAAAATTGTCTATCTGGCGTTCCTTTTTTGCCGTAACCTTTCAAGATACATTGAAATATCTTTAAGTTTTGAGTAAAAAAAGTTGGAAAGGGATACTTTATAGGGATTTAGAATCAATGATATAATTTATTTTTTTCTTCTTTAGGAAAGGGAATACAAAGGAAATGATGAAAACCTTACTTTTCATACTGAATGTTAACTAATAAAAAGAGAGTAATCTTTCAAATTGTTTATAAAAATTTATAACTAAACTATGGATAAGCATTTATGCAAAATTTAAATGTACAAAAATCTGCAGCTACTCCAAGCTACATTTTTTTAGACACGTACTTATAAATTTAATTTTGCATAAAAAAATACGCACTCATATCAGATAATTTGAAAATTATCCAAAATTTGTATGAAATTCCCGAACATCCAACTTAACAAAAATTATCTTAATACTTTTCTGTATCCTCTGCATCTTCTCACCTAATTTATTTGTTCCATAGCAATCCATGAACTTCTTTCGAGCCCCAAAAGAGCATTACACGTAATTAACGGGGGTCAACAAAGTCCAGAGATCTTTCTATCGAGGGAAAAGGGGCAACAAGACAATATCTTCGCGAGATTTTACCGTTCCCTCGAGATTATTGTTCCAGCATCACCGGAAGCAGCTTCGAAACCAGCAATCTCAATGAGGAGAGGAACAGTTTCGAATCTTTGGAAATCCTTGGAAAGAGGGGGAGGAGGAACCACGAGGCTAGAGAATAAGAATAAAAAAAAAAGAAAAAAGAAGAGTCGAGAAGGATGAAGAAAAGAAATGGTTGAAAGTCGAGGTTTAATTTAATCGGGCAGAGTGTTGAAGAGTGTTGAGTCGAGGCGCTTGCGCAGCCGTCGTGCGTTCCTGGACCACCACCGACCATGCTCTAGTATCACACGCCGACGTCGTGGTGGTGTTCGTTGTCGTCGTCGCGACGCCCAGTGACCGTGCCGTCCGCGTCTCTTCGAGCAGTACGCGTCCACACGTCGCGACGACACGGATTCGGATCGTGCACCCAGTCGCCGTTCCATCCTCGAGTGCTCGTGAATTTCGATCGAAACGTTGAACCCTTTGTGCACGTGATCCTGTACGAGATTCTATCATCTTCGTTCGTCGTGCCGTTCTCCTCCCTGTGCACGAGATCCTTCTGTGAACGTCTCTTCTTCATTCGGCGGAAAACGATGTGGCCAACAGGTCGACTCGTGTCGTCGCACAGGAGTCGAGGAGATTGAGAAGGTAAGAGGGGATATATGATAATCTGATCGCGGAAGTTCGAAGTGATCGATGAAGTGAACGTCGTAAAATTGGAGATGGGTAGGGAGAAACTTGAATTTAGCGGGCGAATTTCGAGCGCGGGGATGGACCACGAGAGTGTCACGTTCCCAAGGATCTTGATCGAACTCTCTCGATATATCCAAGAGAAACTCCCGTGGGACTGGATCATCTTTCGCGAGCTTGTTAACGTTCCAACAGGTCGTTGACAGACAGAGTTGAACGAAGTCGTAAAACGCGTGTACCAGACACGAAATTCGTGCGTGCACGATGATTTCACATGCGACATCGTTGTGATGACATCTTTCTCTTTCTCTCTTTTTCTTTTCCTCTCTTCTCTCTAAAAATATAATATGCTGGAGTAAACGAGACGACGCGACGCGTTTATTTACACGACGCGTGGAAATTATACTCGGGTGGTATGAAAGAAATATGGAGTTGAATAATTCATGTGTTTATGAACGAACATTTTCATGGCATATTCGTGGCATAAATGTTGCATGCTAACTGATACGGGCGGATGTCGACGCTTGAACGCTTTCGAAATTTTATTTATTTATTTTAAGCGATCTCGAACGATCTTTTTTCGCGTCGAAAGATCGGAAGGGGAGGAAAGAGGAAAAATCAGGTGTTAAAAGCGATTCTATTTTTTTTTTTGTAAACTCGTCGTCGAGAGAAGGTTGAAAAGAGAGCGTATCGCACTCTTTCTTTTTAAACGGTAAGGGTGTATTGACCGAAGCTCCACGTGTACATCGCCGTTTCCCACTTTTATTTACTCTTCGGTTGAAAACTGGAATTTCGGCGGGATATTCATCGAGATGGAAAAGCGGGACAACGTTGAAAAACTTCCATCGATACTTTCTTTTCACTTGACTTGATGAAATGCTGGCAACCTAATACTTTTGCGATACGCTTTTGGGATTTAGAATGAAACATATTGTATTTCGGATATATAGATATAGTAGATCGAAGCTTGTAATTTTAGTCCCTTTTACATACGATTTTTATTAAAAATCTGTACTTGAAACTTTCTTTTCTTGGAAATTATATTTTTACATTTTTACAGTCGAACTGAACTTATTCTTAATCAAGTATTCTATAATAAAAAAAAAGATAATTCATAACTTTTTGCATATATCAATTTTTTTTCACAAAAAGTTACATTAATTTATACAAAACTAAAAGTTTGAGTATTCGAAAATTTTTTAAATTTAGATATATTTTACTTGTTTTTACTTGCTGTAGATTATAATGTTTAAAATTAGAGATTTTAGATTTTAGAATTATTCAGAAATCAGGAATTGAATATCGAAAATTTTGATTAGCCGTTTACACAAAAGATTTATTTAAGCTTACAAAAATAGTTTTTTTCTTATCACGACGGATTGTTTGCAAGATTGAACAAATCCAACGCAGAAAATTTCCTTTCATATTCGACTCGTAATAATCGAGGTCGCACGATGCGGGATGGAAAATTGTCAAAGGTGACACTCGAAACGCGAATACGCGCGAACGTGCGAAAAAATGGCGGACCTTGTTCCACGCTTCGATACATCTTTTCATCACGGATGCGAGAGAATATTCACGATGTTCAGTCGTCCTGTTTCACCTTTCTTTTCCCCTTTTTCTGGGTCGTTTGTTATTTTATCTGACTTCGCGTACAATGCAACTTGTTCTACCCCATTCTTTTTCACCCTATTAGTCTCACGATTTTCTCGTAGCCGTGCATTTGCCACGTCGTTACACGAATGATCGTGAATATGTGAGTTTGACAGAGAATATTTCCTACTCTATATTTTATGCGATGGAATTAGATCATAGCCTATAAAATGCACTGTTTCGGCGTGTGTTCATCGTGTAAACAGATTCCATTATGACGAATGTGTTTGCGCTGAAGTTGAAAAAAAATGAGCTTGTTGACTTGGTTTTATTACCGAGATTATCGTGACCGGAGGGATTGCGTTTGTTTGACTAGCGAGGAAGGAAGAATAAGCACTATTACACTACTAGGAACTGAGAATGTATTGGAATTTTAATTTGTACTCTGATAAGTAAATGAAGTAAATAGATTATAATCATTGCGTTCAAATTTATTATTCAAATAGATATGAACAAGTACATACAAATATTTTTCAATTATTTCAAATTGCCTCATTATTATTTTCAAGTAAATTAAAATGGAAATAAAATATTGCTGTTTAATTTTTGTTCAATCACAATGGAATTCCATTGTGTATATAATTATTGATAAGCATTGTTATTAAAATTACCGTGGCATCTTTATAATTCTATGAAAAAATAATAATCGTTAAAAACTTTGAAAACTTTGAGGATTCGATCTTTCGATTCAATCATTTCGTTCTATTTATTTCGAAGAAATAAGTTTGAAATTTTAATAAACAACTTCGAAAACATTGTATATAGATAAAGATCTTTTGTTTCTGCTATTGTTTCCAAAAGTCGAACAGCTCGAATCTTGGAATGGTAAGCGAAACAATAGATCTCGAGGAGAATAGAAGAAAAGCAAAAAACGTAATGAATAAAGAATAATAAAGAATAATAAAGCATCGTCAAAAATGGTTGCAAAGAAGTGTTGTTTCACCTGTGAAAATTATATAGATAATTTACATAAAATGGACAACATTCGTGTTTTTTCAATAACACGATATACAATTTTCTCCATTCTGGCATATATTATAGCGAATAAGTCAAGGAATGAGTGGAAAAGTTTCATCTCGATTAAGTAAATATCCATCAAATTCAACGTGTTGTTACTTCCAATTAATCATGAGTAATACGTATGTGTGCGAGACTTCTATCGATCGGGAAAAGTATCTATAAATTACATAACACTCTATCAAATGCTATCAGTAATAACGAGATGAATGATTAAATTAATTGGAAACGAGAAAATTAAAAATATTATATATTATATAGAGACGATATTTAAGGGATTGCTTAGTGCAGTATATATGCTATAAAGTTAAATTAAAAAAAATAAGTCGATCTAGTATTCTTCGTTGGTTATTTTCAATATGTGTGCTCACTTAAAAAAAAAATATATATATATATATTTATACAAATATAAATTATTTAATTTATAATTTGACTAAAAATGCACACAGTTAAAATTTATAATTTTTATACCAAATATTAAAGTTTCATTAGAAGTTTTTCTAATATTTTTTAAATGAAAATATTTTAAAATTTTATCACTAAAAAACAAAATGGCAGATAATTAAGAATCACAGAAAAAGATTATACAAATATAATCGCAATTGTTTGATAAGAAATAATTTCGATATTTATTAATTTTCATCCTAATGCCAAAAGCTTTTAAAAATTGATCCATGATCCAATTAAAGCTTCGAATTACAAACACCGGCTTTAAAAGAATTAAAAACGATTCGATACTAAAATTGCTAAGCAGGGGGGTTAAATTTTGCATAATCCAGGGGCTCAATGGAAGCAGAAGAAGCGGTATATGCAAGTTTTATCAGCAAAGCCAGTTTCCACTAAACTTCACGAATTACCTCTATGTACACCATACATATTGAACTCGTGAGAACACATTCACTGTCACGGTGCTGTCACGTAAGTTTTACGTAACTTGCTCAATGTTTAATAACTTCACGTCATCGTCAGGATCCCTAAATATCTTCCAACCAGCTACGAATAATCTTCGAGTTGCCATCTTCCTCGTTCTTATTCCTCTTTTTCTTATAACACGTCACAGGAGCAAAGCTATGAAAGAAGATTCGTGTTCATTAGTGTGACAGCTGTGATTCGACCAAGAACTCGGTTAGATTTCTAGATATATACGTGGCAATAATATAAATATGTGACAAGATGACCTATATGTTGCGAAAATTTGATGGATCGATCGTGTCCTGCTGCGTTGTAAGTAATTATGTTTATAAATATTGTTTCAGGAGGTTAAGCTCTGTTCGTTTGTCCTATGTCTAAAATTAAATAATTAAAAAAACTTTTGTAACGAGGCAGGTTTTTGCTCTCTTATATATTTTTATCAGCATTTTTTCATGTAAATATGTTTTCTTAGAAAAATAATTTAACTTAAGAAATGGATTCTTTTTATTTTTAAATCTTCTGATATATAAATTCTAATTGTCGAATATTCTTTAGTACGGTTTAATTCTCCATTAAGAATTTAGAATTAAAATTTATGTAATTGTTAGAAATATTCACTATTATGGATTTTTTGTCCATCGTTGAAAAATAACAATTCTATATCGGTTATGTTGCGGTTTCATATGCATCATAAAAATTTTTCCATTGAAATTGTAAAAATTTTTTGGGATCCATTGTTTTCGCGATGTTCAATAGAACAAAAAGAATCATTCGATATTAAATTTGGTATAGAGATAGACAAAAGTCAAATTTTTTCAAATAAAAAAAAATTAAATTGCGAATTCAACGCTAATTTCTTTAATTGGATTGATTTTAATATCACGAGTTGTTTGAAAGGATATTAAAAAATTATGAATTATAATATTGCTTTCGACCGATTTGTAATTAAACATTTTATCTAATTTTCCAATTAACGTTCAATTAATACGTATAATAAAATACGTAATAAAATACATATCTTCATCCATTGTACAATAATATTCTGGAAAATGGCATACTGCTGGAATATTCAAATTTTTTTAATCAAACTGTTCCTTTTCCACGATAGCTATCAAATTATTATAAAATGACCTCATTCTAATACAATCAAGATTATCATACTTGCGTAGATTTACATAAAATAGATAATTGCTTCAGATAGAATCAAATTTTTATCAATAATTGGATATTCCATATAATATGCAATTTTATGGATACTTAGCTGCTTAAAAAATTGCTTTTCGTTTATTTTTAATCGTTCGTGTGATTTTCACGAATTCATATTTACATTTAATTGTAATTCACATTGACACTAGAAAGAAATTTACACAAGAAAT